CAATATTTGCAAATGTTTTCTCCCATTTTATGAGTGAGTTTTCATTCTAATAACATCCTTCATTGTGTGAAAAAAAAAGTCTCATTTAAGGCTTGTTCTCCGTCATTGTTTGTATTTTAAGTACAACATCAAAGAAACCATCACCTAATCCAAGATTACAATTACTGACACCTACATTTCCTTCTAAAGGCTTTATGATTTTGGCTCTTACATTTAGGTGCATGACCTTTCTGAGATACTCTTTTATGTGGTGGGAAGTAGGGGGTCTGTTGGAGCTTGATCTGTGTCTCTCAAGAACATATGATGACTCAGGGCTGGAAAGAAGGCTCAGCGGTTAAGAGTACACGCTGCCCTCCTCAGTTTGTTTCCTATTGCTGCGATAAGCACCATGACCAAAAGCAACATGGAGAGGAAAGGGTTATTCCAGCTTACAGGTTACAGTCCATTATCAGGGGAAGTCAAGGCAGAGACTCAAGGCAGGAGCTCTGAGGCAGAAACTGAAGCAGAAACCGTGGAGGAATGCTGTTTGCTGGCTTGCTCCCATGGATTCCTCAGCTGGCTCTCTGATAAAATCCAGGACCACGTGCCCAGGGATGGCACTGCCCACAGTGGGCTCTACCCTTCCACATCAGTCATCAATCATTAATCAAGAAAATGTCCCACGGACTGGCCCACAAACCAATCTGATGGAGGCATTGTCTCAATAGAGGCTACTCTTTCCAGATAATTCTGTTCTGTGTCGAAGTGACAAACAAAATCATCACAGGGCATGCTGGGAAGGAGCCTTTGGGAGATCATGGTAGGAGAAACCCTTAAGCTCGAGCCCATCGGGTCAGCACAGCCCGTGCTGTATATAATTGTGGGGATGCTGAGTGACTGGGTTTTGAGTTGCCCATTGGTGAACCGCGTTTGGAACACCGGTGGTGCAGTGCCAGTGCTCGGCTCTGATGTCTCTAGTGGTGTGGACATTGCGGAAGAGGCGGGGCTTGAGAGATGGCCATTGTGTCTGCGCATGCACCTGTCCCACCCCAGCCTGACTGAGACCCTGACCTTGGCTTTTCATCCACACCAGGGTGAGGGTGTGCAGCAGCTTCGAGAGGCCCTGAAGATCCTGGCAGAGAGGGTCCTCATCCTGGAACACATGATTGGGGTCCACGGTGAGTAACGACTAGGCCTCCCACTTTCCCACGACCTGTTGACCTATGGGGGCTGCTAAAGCTGTGCGGGCCCCTGCTTCGGGGACTCCCCCATGTTACTGTCAGATGGCCCACACTAAACTCCTCTGATTCTGACCCTCGTCTGCTCAAGGACATTCAGTATCAAAGCCCCACTCCCGGGCATTGCAGGGGATCCCCGGCCACACCCAGACAAGCCAGGCTGCTCCACCTCTGTGTCTTGCTCCAGCCAGTCCCTCCCCGTGCTGATCCCTGTCCACATCGGAATGTGCTCCTTGGTGAAGCTGTCCTGAGCCTCCTCTTTGTCCTTATCTTCCTTGTCATCACGGAAGGAGTTTTCCCTGAGTCTTCCTGATACACCGGGGACGCCTTATATACATTGGGGGTGGCCGGGGCTTCTGTAGGGTCTGCAGCTCAGGCCACTTGATATTGGTTAAAGAAGGAGTGGGCAGGTGCAGAGATGCACAGTGATGGAGGGAGAAAAATGGGAGGGTGACTCGGTGGATGAATGAATGGGAGAATAGGTAAGTCGATGAACGGATGAATAAGGGAATGGATGGATGGATGGATGGATGGATGGATGGATGGGGGAAGGAGTAGGTAGTGGATGAACGAATGAAAGAAGGGGAAATGAATGAATGGCAAAGTGAATGAATGGTGGCGTGAGTGCACAGGTGCGTGAATGGAAAAAGAAGAAGAATGAATGGGAAAACTGAATGGGGATGTGTGTGTGTGAATGATGAGCAAATTAATAGGCAAAGGAACATTGTGCTGCTGAATGAATAAGTCAGTGCATTTTTAGTGAATGAAGAGGGGCAAAGCCTGCTTGCCTCCTCTCACTGGACATGCCCGGGCTCTGGGAGCAGAGGCCATTGGGTACACTGAGGCTGTCTTGAGCAACCCTTCTTCCCTCCTTCCAGATCCCCTAGCCTCCCCGGAAGGAGGCTCTGGGCAGGACGCGGCCCTGAGAGCCAATCTGAAGATGAAGAGGGGAGGCCCTCAAACTGATGGCATCCTGGCTGCCCTGCTGGGCCCTGACTCTGCACACAAGAGTGCAGACCAAGTTGGCAACGGGAAGTAGGAGTCCCTCTGCCCAGAACAAGCCCAGCCCGGGGCACAACAGCTGCTGCTGAAGACTCCTGAAGACGCCCCATCAGTGGGACTGGGCATCAGGCAGGGACGATTGTAAAAGACATTGGGAGCCTGGGGTCCTTGGGGACACATTGTGCCTCCAAGGGGCAAAGCCCAGAGCAGACTAGCACCCCAACGGAACCCTTCTTTTGGCCTTGTCCCCTACCTCCCATTCCCGGCTGGAGACGGGGTCTGGGTGGGCTCGTGGCAGGCGGGAGAATAATCACAATTCTCGATGGCCAAGCCCCTGCTACATTAGGGGCCAGGACCAGCTAAGGTGCTTTCCCTATATTGTCTCATTTAACCCTTAAAAGGTAGGTCTGTGATCCCCATCCCCACTCAGCCTGGGGACAGGTGTGTGGATATCCGTGTGTCGGGGGAGGAGGTGGGTTTGGTATTCTAACCCAGCCTGAAACCAGTTGCTGAAAACATGACTTACAAGTCTTGCTAGTTTCTTCCCCTCCCCATGAGGTGTGTAGACCAGAGGACTCCAGAGGCAGCCAGGCTGCTGGAAGGCAGGGCCGCCTGAGAAGACATAGGGTACTACAGGACTTTGGACCTGCCTCTGGTCTCTTCCTAGGGCTGGGAACAGGGAGAGCTTCCACATGGGACTTGGGGACCATGAGGTAGGGTCTTTGGGGATGAGAGAAGCAAAGGCTTTTGAATCTGATTGGCAGTGCTCCCTACTGTCTCGCAGTCTTGCTGAGCCCACTGGCCCTCACCCGTTCTCCGCCATGGAGAAGGAGGAAACATTTAATGGGACTATCCATCCAGACTGACTGTCACTGTCAGTCTTTTGTGGAAATCTCTGGATTTGAAGCTTTGGCTTTGATGGGACAACCAAGTCCATGTCCCCTTGACAGAGAATCAAACTGCCTGTGTCTTAGGCTTGCTGGAGGCCATGCCCCACACCTTGGGGCTGGGGTCCACAGCAGAGCTGATCCACAGCTCTGAAGGCCTCTCTGGCTGGTGCTTAGCCTCTTATGACCCGCCTGCCCTGGTGCCCCTCCCACCAGGCCACAACCCTTACACTCAAAGAGCAGAAAGGCCTGGTACCACCCTTGGGTGTGTCTCCCTGTCTGGCAGAGTGGCCATCCCTAAAGCTTTTGGTGCTGACACAAGGCTGTGACCTTGTTCCCCTGGGCCCTGTTGACCGTTCCTGGCTGTCTTTACCACGAGGTGATCTGAGACCTATGATGCTATTTCAAATAAAGGTGCTCTCCCCACTGTGCCCTTCTGTGACTTGGCAGCTGTCGGGGAGGCTGGACCTGCACCTGGCTAATTCATGCTAATTCTCTGTCTAGCTTTGGGGTTACTTTAAGGTTTCTGAGGTGAGAGAACCCAAGAAGCAGCTAGGATGGGGAAAGGTACCCCTCAGAAGCTGCTGCTTCGAGTAGTTGGGATGGCTTGGTAGGTAAAATCAATTGCCACCAAGCCTGGTGACTTGAGTGCAATCCCCGGAACCCATGTATCAGGAGAGAACCAACTTCTGCGAGTTGTCCTCTGACCTATAAGTGTGCACTCCTCCACACAAATGAATAAATATATGTATTTTTAAGATGGGGCTGGAGAGATGGCTCCGCAGCTCAGAAGGCTTTCTGTTCTTGCAAGAGGATCCAAGGTCCATGTGTGGCACCCATGTTGGGCAGCTCACAACCATCTGAAACTTCAGCTCCAGGGTATCCAGTGCCCTCTTCTGGCCTCTGCAGCTCTCCACACACATGTGCACATACACACACTCAGACACGCATGTATATACATAGATAAAAACAAAATAATTTAAAAAGGAGTGGTTGCCCACTCTTTCCAGCAAGGCTGAATTTGAACTAAGCTGAGGCTCCAGCCTTGCAAGGAAGGGAGTTATAGCTTTGTTTTTGTTTTCTGAGATAAGATTTCACTATGAAGACCTGGCTGACCAGAATCTCACTGTGTAGATCAGACTGGCTTTGAACTCACAGACTTCCCCCTGCCTCTGCCTCCCTAGTGGCTAGGATTAATGGCATGCACCACCATGCTGGGAATGCAAGGCAGAGAGTTAAACTGAGGGGTGTCAGGTGTTGCGTGACTTGGGGGAGGGGTATAATTAATGCCTACTTCCCAAATGGGACAGCTCAACAGTCTAGAGAAAGATTCAGACAAGCTTATCTTGACACATTTGATGAGTTCATGAAGGGAAAAATACAGACAGCTCCATTTCCTCCTTCGTAGGTATCAATCGTGCACCCACCCACCAAGTTCTGATTTCACAGGCTCTGAGTGGCAACAGGATCCCTAGAAGCTCGAGTGTGGATGCTCTTAGTGTCAAAGCGGTAGAGGTGACCACAGGCCCGGACAATGAAAGACACAACTAACCAGACTGGGGCGGGGGTGGGGGAGTTGGGAGGGTATTGCTGGTGAAAGGAATCCTTGCTGCATGAGCCCAGGGACCTGAGTTCGATCCCTGGGACCCACATAAAGGTGAAAGGAGAGAACTCCACAATGTTGTCCTTTGGCAACCTGGACTTCCACAAGCGCATCGTGACTTGTGCATCCTGCAATACATTGTACGCACACAATAATAATAAGTAATAATAATAATAATATAAAAACTCAGACTCTAGGAATGCTATGCATTAATACAGAGTCTGATTTTGCCCTTTCAAGGATTCAGCTGGTCTTGGCAGGCAGTGTCTAGTCATGGGAGAGACGGCTTGTTTTTTTGGGGCATTCTGCGATGTGGAACAGCTAAAAGGTGGTTTGCTCTGAGGTGAAGTTATTCTGATTAGGGTTTAGGATACTCATATCGTACCAGGGCACTCCAGACCCCCTAACCCTGTCTCCTGCTCCTGTCCAGGCATGGCTCAGCGATAAATTAATTCCTCCCTAGAACTCCAGAGAAACCCAAGTACTCAAGAAGCAAGGCCCCTAGATCAGGGTGGAGTCCAGAATGGCTGTGGATCACTGTAGACCTTGGTACCACCAGGCACTTGCTGTGTTCCTGGTCCTCTCTAAACCAGAGTTGACATCCGCCCAAAGTTCAAATCCAGTAGAGAAGATGGACATCAAATATCCAGGTGATGTAGAAGGCAGAGACTCTGGGCCACTTCCGTAGTCTGAAACATAAAGCTAACCACGGGAGAAGAGGGACTAAGAGACAGACAGTTAGGGACATCACCTGTCTGCAGGGTGATGGGTATGTGGCTAGCTCCTTAAGCAGGAGTCCTGTTCCCAGGCCCAGTGGGTATGTGATTCTCCTCTACACACAGTCCTAGACCCAGCTGGCCCATGATCACTCAGTACTGGGGGACTGGGATCATGTGTTTGAAGCCAAATGTTGACATGGAGGAGGGAGCTGGAGAAAGAAGAATTGTCACACTCTTGTGTTCCTTTACCTAGGCAAAGAGCCACAGAAGCATAAGGGTTTTTACATTTTCGTTTTTTGAGACAGAGTTTCCCTATGTAGCCCTGGTTGTCCTGGAACTCACTCTGTAGATCAGGCTGGCCTCAAACTCAGAGATCCTCCTGCCTCTGCCTCCTGAGTGCTGTGATTAAAGGTGTGTGCCACTACCATCTGGCTAAAGCATACATTCTTCCTCCCTCCCTTCCTCTCCTTTTCTCTGAGGCTCAGGGGTGCTCCAGCAGGCAGAGCTACCATAGACCCAGCCTTACAGCCTGAATACAGCTTCTTGGTTTCTTGTCCCATCCCCCCCAACCCGAAACCCCACCTGCCCATCCATAGTCTCCTCCCACTGCAAATGCTTGGGACTTCTGTCCCTGAGAGGTCTCTCCTGTACCCCCTCTTCTTGGCTGTCCCCCAAACCATGAGGGGCAGGGGTGGAAACACTCCAGCACTGGGCACCAACCAGGGTACCCCAGCCAAACCTATGACTCACTGAATCCAAAAGACACCCCATAGCTCAGCCTCTCCTTCTGAACTGTTAGTGTCCAGGTGCAGGAACACATCCCTGTCGTCAGTACCCAGTCTACCTGGGTGCAGCACAGTGAACCACTGTGTCAGTTCACTGACACCTATGTGACAGGACCTTGGCAATGAGATCACCTCCTGTCCAGATCCCTTAAGGCAGTGGGCAGAGAGAGGGACATGAAAGCTTCCCAAAGCAGCCTCCATCAGAACATAAGCCCCTCCCTACCCCACAGTTCCAACTGCCACGCTCTCACAGACCTGCTTTATGGAGAATTTCACGAGATTTTCAATTAATTGAATTCCCAGGGAGATTTACTTCCAATGTTATTAATAAATTCTAATGCTGCCTATAACTCTCAATTGCCAGTTAATTAACTTGCAATTGGCACGTTGTAAAAGGCAAACCAAACACCTTTTCAGGTGGGGCTGGTGAAGTCTGTCGTGTGTGCTGAGGCAGACAGCTGGGATATATGTTCCCTCCCTCTCCAGCTGAGGAGTGACAACAGTGTACCCAGTATCCTCAGCCCTGAAGGAGGATCACAGGGTCTGCTCCAGGGTTCCCAGTACCTGGGGTTGATATTGGTTACTGCTCCTGAACAAACAAGGCAAGGACAGTGTGGCCATCTTGTATATGGCTCACTGACTGCCTCAATACTTGATGCAATGGTATTCTGGGTACATTTGGGTGATACAAATATTTGTTTTGTTTGCTTCGTTTTGTTTGATACAGGGTCTCCATATGTAGCCCAGGCTGCTCCATAACTCACTACATAGCCCAGGCTAGCTTCAATCTTTCAGTCCTCCTGCCTCTACCTCCCAGTTGCTGAGATTCCTGGCCTGTGTCACCGAATCTCACATAGATTTCCTCTTGACAGGCTTCATGGCCCCATTGGAATTCCAGTGATGGGTCTGGGTTTGCAGCTCAACTGGTAAATCTTTGTACACATGAGGCTCTGGGTTCAATCCCCACCCCGTGTAAACCAAGTCTGGTAGCTCACACCTGCAGTCCCAGCACCGGAGAGGTGGAGGCAGGAGGATCAGAAGTTCAAGGTCATCTTAAGTTATCAAGTTTTAGTCAGCCCGCCTCATATCTGGCGAGGGAAGCTCCACAGCAGGAGAACAGTGGCTTGGTGTGTACGGGTTTGATAAAGACAACATCAGGAGAAGGCTTGGGATTGACTGGGCAGCCTGTGAAAAGCTGCGCTCTCGGGAGAAGGTGGCACACACTTGCATCTAAGCATGCGGGCAGAGGCAGGAGGAACGTGGGTTCAAGGCTACCGGGTGACACAAAGCCAGATTACATCTCAAGATAAAATATTTCTCCTGTCTGTCTGTCTACCTATCATCTGTCTCTCTGATGAGCCCATTTGTCACTAAGCTCATGGGCATTCCGTTTTCCTGAGACAGAGGAGGAGATGGTGCAAGCCCCAAAGGTCCTCAGGTACGAGGGTTGTTGTCACAAGACAGGAAACAAGGAAATTGTCAGAAGGGGCCAAGAAGACAGGTACTTCTATAAGACACAAGGACCTAAGAGGACCCTCAGGACAGGAACAGGAGTGTCACAGAGGTCATACATGCTGTGTGTTCCTCTTTTTGTAGCATTTTTCATTCTGTCCCCAGCCTCTGTCATGGCCTCTGCTTGCTGGTAACTTCAGCCTCTTCCTCTCAGGACCTCTCACTTGTCCTGCCCCTCCGACTGGTGGCTTAGCAGTTGTCTGCCACTCAACTGGTTGGTTGTTGACATCTTGTTACAGAGTTTCAGGGCAAAATCTCCAGCTGTGAGAGCCAACCCACAGACTAGATGAGTCACTTGTCCCAATTCTCTGATTAAAGAGAAGACAAATGGTAAAATGTAGAAAGAATAGATTTGGTAGATGTATCCATATTGGGAAGAGGGACAGATAAAGGCATTTAGTGACCAACACCACCACCGCCCCAAGTCTGTATTCAGGGCTCTGCCGTGAGATTTAGGTTTAGATGGAGGGAGAGCTGGAGTAGGGGACAGAGGCATGTGTGATTGATTAAGCCGTCCTGGTGGAAGTGAGGTTGGGTTGATCATCCTCTCAGCTCTGCTTCTGCAGGGTGACCTGATGAAATAATTGTTTGAGGGGACAAGCTGCTCTTCAATGCATGGCCACTGCTGTTTGGGAGTGATCGCATCATGGGGTGATCTTTCTGTGAGGATCTGCTGTTCCTGTAGGCTTAGAAGCAATCTCTCGGGCTCTGATATGGGACAGTGTAGATAGATGCTGACACCAAGGGGTTTCAATGACTCTGGTGCCTGTACCTGCAGCCTTGAAGCCAGTGAACTGGGCATCATGGTTTTTAGAAAGACACACCTTGAGTGATTGATATGCCATGTGCAGAGA